ATAAAAAAAGTGTTGTTGATGATTTTGGTGTGGATCCATTTTTTTTTTTTTTTTTTTGAAAAAAAAAAAAAAAAAAAAAAAAGATCTATAGTTGAAAAAAAGTAATTACAATTTGTTGTTGTTGTTGTTTTTTATTGTTATTATAATGATTTTTTTTTTGTTGAAATAATAAATCACACATACACACATTGTTTCGAATGTTAATGTTCTTTTGCAGAAAAAAAAACAACAACATTTATTTAAAATCAATTTAATTTTTTTAAAAATGTTTTGTGAACTACACGATGAAAACACTTGAGGATTTTGTTTTTGTTTTTAAAATCAACAATTTCCAGGCAATGTGATTAATTTGATTAGATTCATTATTTGATAATGATTATTATCTAACCTTTAAAAAATAAGTTAATTGATTGAGTTAAATTTTTGTTTTGTTTTGTCTTTTTGTTTTGTTTTTTTGTTTTGTTTTTTTGTTTTGTTTTTGTTTTTGTTTCGTATCCGGATAGTTGATCGAATTACAAAAAGGGTTAACAAATAGCTGATTTAATTTATTTGCCAAATTGAGTGAAAATAGCATTTTTAACATTCGAATTGTGTTGGAATTTAATTTACAAAAAAAAAGATTTACAAAAATATAATTTTCAATCTTTTTTTTGTGAATGATGCAACCGAGAAAAACAAATTACAAACAAAACATTCTTTGTATTTTTTTTTTAAATAAATCAATTAATCAAACAAACAAAATTGATTATTTCATCAACAACAACAACAAAAAGTTTATTTGCTAATCTCATTATTATCAAATTCAAATTGACCTTTTTCTTTGTTTGTCTTGGAAAATCTTTTATTTTATATTTTTTTGTTGTTGTTGATTAATCTCTAATGTCAGAAGCTTCTTTTATTTTAAATCCATTTTTTCTTTCTTTCTTTCTTAGATGTAAATAATTGATGAAATATATCATCAAACAAATCTTCATAATAGATAACTTACCACGTTCAAAAATCACCATTGTTAAAATAAACAATTAACATAATATTTTTCTACATTGAAAAAAAAAATAATTTCTTAACCGATAATTTTAAAACAAAACAAAACAAACAAAAAAAAAAATTAGCCAACAAAATGACAAGAATTTTTTGTTTCTAAAAATTTCGAAATTCATCATCATCACCCATAATTAATTTCATTGTTAATTATGATAATCATTTTGTTGTTGTTGTTGGTCATCACTATCGTTATATTTGTGATCCTAAATAGTTTTTAGACAATTTTCTTAGAATTTTTTTTTATCAAATCCTTTTTGAATGAATTCGTTATTCGAACACACAAAAAAAACATAGATGATTCAAAGATGCGAATTGTAAAATGTTAAATGAAATGTATTTTTTTTTTAATGAACAAAAGTTTGTAGTTTTTTTTTTAAAAAAATTCAAATTCATTTTTTAAATGCATGAAGGATATTAAATTGCAAACCCATTTCTCCCGGTTTATCTACATAATGTTCAAGCATTCTATCAATATATCTCGGTGTAAATACATTCGGCTGATCTATTTTTGTATCGATTCTAATTGCCGATATTTCAATTCTATTCAATAATTTTAAATATTCTTTATCGTAATTAATTTTTTGACCCTTTATAATCATATCTTCAATTGGTGAATCTGATGATATTGTTTTATCAAAATTTTTTACATATCTATTATATTTCCATTTATTATATCTATTTTTTACTGGTTTCAACATTTTTGCGATTTTCGGATCAATTTTACTTTTACCCAATCCATAGAGAGTACAAATAATTCCAAGAACAAACATTACAAGCGAAAAATAATGCATCCACTGATGAATCTTATCCCAAATGGTTTCTTCTTTTTCTTCATCTTCATCGTCTAATTTTGGTGGATCTTTACAAGCATCTTTATTCGACCATTGTTCACAGGATTTATTAAATAATTTTAATGTTTCATCTTCATTACGTTTTGCATATTTTTTTTGATTACATTTTAATAAATTTTCTGTTTCACATTCTAATGTTTTAAATACGAAACAACAAAATGTTTTTGTTTCAGTATACTATATGTGTGTGTTTGTACAAAAAAAAAATTAATATAATTTATCAATTAATTTTTTTTCAAAAAATTACCATCATTACTTACATAATTTTTCATTTTTACTTGCCATACTTTAGCCATTTCAGTTTGACAATCAAGATATGGACAATCATCTAATAGATCCAAATATATTGTTTTATATATTAATGTTTTAGTTTGAAATTGTTGTTCAGTTATGTTTATATTGTTGATTGTAATGATTATCAAACAAAATAATAGAAAATTTTCAAACAACAATAATTTGATCGACATTGCTATAGAATAGTAATATTTAAAAAAAAATTACTTTCATGAATGAATGAATAAATGAATGAATATCGGTTTCATATATTAAATAATTTCTGAATATTGTTGTATTTTTGTTCTAATTATTATTTACACACACACACACACACACAATTCAATTTAATAAATAATTTTATTTAAAATTTAAAATTTAAATCGATAGATTCCAGAAATGAAATAATTTTTCAATAAAAATATTAACAAATCTATCCTGACTTATTTGAAATGTATTTGATAATTTATTTGTCATTTGATTTGTTTGTATTGAATCATTTAATGACCAACCATCATCGATTGTATCGATATTGTTTGAATTTCGTTCATCATCATCAATAATATTTTTTGATTCAATATTGGAAAATGTTGTCGTTGTCATTGTCATTGTAGAATTATTTAAATCAATATATTCCGAATCAAATGAATCGAAAATAATTTTTTCAATCATTTCAATCATTTCGGGTAATTTTTGTTTGGCCATCGTAACTAATGATGTAATGATTGAGCTATTCTTTAATTTATGATAATCAATAAATAAATCGGTTATTATTCCATATAGACGATCCAAACCTATCATTACATCTTGTCTTCTATTATCTGATAAACTTATATTATTATTATCTATTGATTCTTCATCACCATCCTGATAATTTAGATTTAAATCGATTAATAATTGTCTAGCAATATCAGCATCACTTGATTGTAGATCAGCAATTGCTTCCAATAAATCTTCACGATGTTTTTTTCTTATCAATTGCCCTATGTTTGGATATAATCGAATTAACATTGATCCTAAACTTTTATCAATTAGATCAACATCGATTTCTATTTCAATTGATTGTCTTGTAGCTTCCCTTGTAATAAAATCTTTAAGAATAGAAATTGTTGATACATTATCCGATGTCATTGTGATAATACCATGTCCACAATTACAAATCAATATTGATTTAGTCATTGTTGATATATAGTAAAAAACTTCTGATTCAACATCTGATAATGTACGTGATAATTTTTCTGGTATTTCCGGTATACATAAACGTAACCATGTATGAGCATCGGCTAAACCAAATTGACCAGTTATCGATAATCGATTTGGATAATCAATACTAGTATTTGAATATTGTCTTTTATGCAATGATAATGGCTGTATTTGATATGATCGTGTTTGACATGATTTTGGTGTTATTCTTGATATAACATATACCGATATGGTACCATGTTGTCCTTCAACTGGTCGTAATCTTATTTCCAATCTACTTGTATTTGTTTGACAACGAAATGTAACCAATACCTGATTCGGATTAATAATATTAAAATCATTAACACCATTTATCATTTGATCATCATTAAAACTAATCACAGCTGAATTACGTTCACAATCAATTAAATCTAATGGTAAATCACAATGTAATACGACAACATCAATTGAAACTTCAACTTCTAACATTAGAATATAAGATGCATCTAAAAAAATTGAAATTTTCATATTAAATTTTCAAACAAATCAAGAAAATCATTAATTTTTTTTACCATTATGAAGAACAAATGAATCATTGATAGCAAAAAATGGTAATACGGATAGATTACCATCATTTGCATTGATTGTTGGTTCATCATTTATTGTGTTAGCTATTGCTGATGATGCCATAGCCGTATTTTTTGCATAATTTTTTCGTTCATTTTCTAATTGTTTTTCCATACGTTTACATTCATCCTGTAATGATCGTATACGATCAGCATTTTCTTTACTAATCATAAGATAATTAGGATTAAATTGTTTCATTTGTTTTGTTTGGCCATGTTGTAATAGACCAAATACCATTCCAGTGAATGTTGTACATAATAATAGAAGATCATTACGTTGACCAACTATTATTGGTAATAGATTTGTAATCGATTCACTACAATTATATGAATCAATCATTGTTGGTGAAACGGTAAGATCAACTTGTTGTTCAACATCACCATCTTGAATTGTTTCATTTAATCGCCATATTTCTATTGTACCATCAGCACGTCCAACATAAAAATCTGGTTGAATTTCGGAAAAACATAGACAAGTTATTGGTTGTCGAATACCATCGACAGGTACTTCCCAATGATGAATAGGTTCTAATTGATCTTTATCTTGAAATTGAAACGTAACTAACGATATTTTACCATTCATTGTACCATAACATAAATGGATATCATTATCTTTTGTCTTTTTCACTGATAAATTACTACTATTGACCATCATTTCTGCTTCAGCATAATCATAATCATCAATCAAATCATAATTATCTTTTGGTTTCATTCGATTTAATTCATTCATTTTTAATTGATTATTAATTTGACGTGTATCCAGATATTGTGGTACTAATTGTATAACAGATGGTATACCACAAACTTCGATTTCAAAATTACATTGTGAATCTTTTAAAATACGTAATAATCGATCTTGACATGCTAAAATTGGAATAATTCTTCGATTAAAACGTTCTTTCATCAATACAAAATCGTTTATTTGTGCTGGACAAACATAATAATGTCTTGAACGTACAACAGAATTATATGATGAATTTGATGATGATTTTTCTCCAGTACCACTACTAACTAATTCAGTATTAACAAGATAACTATTATAAATATATTGTCCCAATACATGTATTTCATCCGGTTGTCGATGCATTTGAAACATTTTTATCGGTTCAGTTAGATTATTTAATTCAAGACCAAAAAATTGTTTGCCTTTTTTATTGAATCCTTTTATCATTGATGGACCATAAACAATAAGAATTTTTGTCGATCCAAGTTGTTTATGGCCAGAATAGGTATCAATACAATTGATTTTAGCATTTGGACCGGGTAAAGTTTTAAATATTGTATTGGCTTGATTTTTATCCATATTAATACTAAAATAATGTAATGATCCAGAATGATCACCAATAGCAATTTCAAATAATTGTGGTGATAATTTTCTTATCAATTTCATTGCATTTCTTGATGTAAGACCAACTTGAATATAATCGAATCTTGTAAATGATGATAATAATGGATTTTGATTGGAATTCATTGTCGATGATGTTATTTTTATCTCACAATAAATTTATCAGATGCCGAAAAATAAAATTTATTTATTTATTTAGCCGTTCCAAGATCGGTATGATGATTTGTACAACAAACAAACTATCTATCGTGTTGCCATGGTAATTTTGGAAAAAAATTCCTTATTTTTTAGTTTGTATAGCAAAAATTAACGCATGATCATTTTTTCTTGAATTGAAAAAAATAATTCTTTCGTTTTTATTTTTTTTTATATCATTCTAGACAAAACGGAAAAAAATCCTGTGCAATATTGCATTGTTTGTTAATTTACGAAAAAAAAATAATCAGTTTATATTGCCAAATATGGACAAATCAACAATGATCTATTGAAAAAAAAATTCATGCATATGATTCAATCAATTTTCAAAATTACAATTGTAAAAGATCAATTCGTTCAAAAATTATTATCACTTGTCAACAACAGAATAAAGGAAAGGAAAAAAAATGAAACCAATAATTTACAGGAAGAAAATAAAATAAAATGACACACGCATACATTGAAAAAAAAACAAACTAAATATTGGTGGAAAAGGTATACAAAATGAGAAGGAAAAAAAATAAATAATTGGAATCAATACGTTAGAATTGTTTGTCTCGAATCCAGACCAGAATCAAGTTGTTTGACTGAACGAATCAAAGTGGAATCATTGGCATCGATAATTTGATATACACTGCACATTTTTATCTATAGATTTTCGTTTTCATTCTGTACTTTAAACACTTATCAATAAATTATTTTTATGATTTTGCGAGAGATAAAAATTATTCAATTCCAAATGTAGAGGATTCTTCAACAGCTAATAATAGCTTTTCATAAAGGCTTTCAAATGATGTATATGGCGGTAGATCCAATCGGTTGAAACAAGTGTGCGCTCTAAAAAAAAATTAAAATTAAATCCAAATTAAATTTACAAATAAAAAATAAAAAATAATCATACCTGGGTAGACTAGTTGGTTTACCAAGTTTTTCGATGCAAAATTTTCGTGGTCCATTACTGCCACGTAATGCTGCAAATCCTTCATATGGTATTGATGATGTACCAGTGACAAATTGTAATAATCTTAATCGTTGTTCATTATCGAATCTATGTTCAATAGCAGCCCAAAACCATTGAATTACCGGATGGCCATCATGATAACCTGAACGATATTCAGTATTTTTACGCCAATCATTTACATCAATTTCAGCTGTGCCTGCAATGACTAATTCCAATTCTCTTGCATCGAAAGCAGCAATCATACGTGGTTCAATAACTTCATTAAATCCTTTTAATAATGATTGACTTTGTTGTGAAACACCACGTTCAACACGCCATCGTACCATACGTTCAATATATTCTTTTTTGTTTCGCTCAGTCACCAGAATATTCTTTCCAGCTGGTTTTAATTCCTATTTTTCAACCCAAAAACAATGTTATTGAAATGAATTCATTTTATCTATTCATTACCTTTTCAACTACTTTTCCGGCTATTTCTTCCGTAACTGAAAATGTTAGACTTAATGTATCTTGCATTTCGGTTATATCATTTTCTTTGAACCACATTAATGACTGATGGAAACCGGCGTCCAAATATTCGAGATCAGATAAATCACATTCAGATTTGAGCAACGATTTATAGAATGGCCGTGTGAAGAATACATCCAATAGGTATTGATGAATAAGTGCTAGGCCTAGTACACGACCAGCAAAACGAAACCATTCCTGATAATCATCAACAAAAGCTGACATTGGTGAAATTTGAACAGTGTATTGATCATTGGCCGAATATTCAAAAAGACTATAATAAGGATTGAATAGTTCACGGGAGAGTAAAAAGAAGAATTCACGTGATGGACCGCCATAATCAAGACCTTCTTCCCCAGTGAATGAAATGTATAAACGTGATTTTTGTAATTCTTTCTTAGTAGATATGGACATTATTTTGTTGAAAGCATCTTCCAATAAGTGATCACGACGAACGATCAATTTCAATTTCGAAGGGCCTTGACCATATCCATTTTTCTCTAATTTTCTATAAAAATGTCGTAGTTTTGTTTCGAAATCACGTTTATATGGACCATGACTACCAGCGATTCGTGTGGTTGGAGCCGTTATTGATATCAGGGAAAAACCACTTGAACTTGGTGGATTTGTTGTTCGATTATTGTTTGATGTAGATGATGATGACGATGATGATGGCGGAACATAAGACATGATTTCACTCTCAAACAATGACAATAACATGATCAGATCCAAATCATTAGTAAAACGACGTAAAGCATCAACGCCTTCTGTTCGGATTGTCTGTATACGATCACGCAATGAACTATTGCTTTTGATACTGGGTTTTCGTTCGGAAAGAATATCCCATATATTTGGTTGTTGAAGAAAAGCGACTACTTTATCATTATACGATGTTGGTACTGATGCTTCATATGTAGCTAATGATTGTTCGGATAAATGTGCAGGAATATTTAGCCCAGGTATTAACATAGATGTTGATGCAGAACCGTTACAGGTTCCATTCATAGTACCAGCAGAATTATTATTAGCTGATAAATGTGGTCTTGGTGGTGGAATTGGAGACATTCCTGCAGCAATCATCATATCAACTTGCGGATGTATGCCAGCTGCTGCTGGTGAATTAGTTCCCGGACGGTTACCAGTACGTCTACGGATCGGTGCCATCGATACTGCATGTGGATTTACTTCGGGTAGATCAAGTGGTAATCGTGGATCAATATAAGTAGTCGATCGAGTGGTATGATCGATAAAAAACATCTTATTCGAACGATCACGTTTGGATTCCCAACCTATTAAAAAAATTATGAATATAATTTTCAAAAAAGAAAACGAGTGAATCAAACCTCGTGGAAGTGGTTTGTCCGTGCTGGCAAATTTATTGATTAATGATACAAGATCACGATTATGTTGATATCTTTGAAATGATTCAGTTGATGGTGGTGATTTCTGTCCTTCACGACGAATTTTCGTTACCATAGGTTTCAATGTTGATGATTCGTTATATTGTCTGAGAGCATCATCATTTAGATGTAATACATTGAAAAAATCAGATCGTAATAGAAAACGAAGTGCCGGCACATCAAGAATTCGATTCGTAGTCGATGATGATGATGGTGGTGGTGGTGGTGGAGTAGACGTCAGCTCTTGTTGTTGTGATTGTTGAATATTCGTTGCCGATGAACCAATAGTTGAATCTGGTTGTGCAATGCCTGCAGTTGCTGAGGGAGATGATGCTAGAATAATGGATGATTGTTGATTACAGGATTGAGCACCATTAGATGAGGATTGTCCTCCAGTGAAATAAGCTTGTGTTAAACTTAAAACACCGGAACCTTGACTACAATTGATCGTTGAAGGTGAATCGATTAAATCAGAATCTGAGAATTGATAAGTGAATGTTGGATTAGAAATTGAAAATGTTTTGGACATGTCTTGTATAATGTCATTACCACTTTGAATATTTAATGCATTTCCGCTGGTGGCTGTACCAGCAACAGTATTAGAAAACCCGATTGCAGCTGATGTATTCGATGAAGGAAAACGTTGTTGTTGTTGTTGAGCGGAAAATAATGGCTGTTTCAAATAATTTCGTTGAGATGTGGAATTTGTTCCCGTTGAAGAGGTTGGAAAGTCTCCACCACTTCTATGACGACTAGAACTTGTACCATTACCACCAATTGAACGACGAATCGATTGATAACGACGATCCAATTGTTGTCGATGTATGTGTTCAGCATTTGTGATATAATGCATTGAAATGGCCGATCTCGATGATGGATCATGTGGAAATTGAGGATTTACTGATGAATTATTTGATTGTGGATCGATAATCACTGAGCCAAATGATTGATTGGAAATGGTGGAATTCGCAGTAGAAACAGCAGGTATAATCGCAGCCAATGATAATGGCTGTTCTAATTCCGTAACAACATTACTCGCCGATGATGATGTTGCTGCCGTTGTAATGTTGGTCAATGGATGTGAAGCACCTGATGATGATGGTTGTTGAATCAATTGATTAATTTGGCCAGAATTTCTTTGCTGATTATTTGTGGTGTTAGGATGATAAATAGGTCTTATCCAAGTGGTGGTACGTTTTTCATGATCAATATAAAATATTCGACCATGTGCATCACGACGAGCTTCCCAATTTGGCGGTAACGGTTCATCGGTTTCCACACGACTATAGCGAAATGTACGTTCGGGTAATGATGGTAGCCTAGTAATGGTTGCTGATCGTACATTAGGTAGATGATTTCCTTGACCACCACCTATATTCATTGATCGTGGTCGTGATGAATTTGAATGTTGTGATAAACCTGAATATAAATAAAAAAATTTCAAAAATAAATAGCAAAGCAAAAAAAAAATTCAATCATTCGTAAACATAAAAAATAATTTGGAAATGAAAACAATTACTCACCATCAAGGACAACTGTTTGTGATCGTCGATGATGCATTGAATTATTAATGTTATTACGTCTTTGTTGTTGTTTAGTTAATTGTGGATTATTATCATTATCTATTGATTGTTTGGAATTTGTTGTCATCATTGTTGAATCATTATTCAATGAAGTGGTTGACTGATCTTCAATAGAATTTGTATTCTGTTCTATTGTCGTTGATATATTATCACATTCATCTATTGTAGATGGATTACTTGTCGATGATGTTACACCTACACGTTCAAGACGACGATGTTGACCAGCAGTAGATGATGATGATGATTGCTGAATTTGATTCATAACTGATTCGTCTTCACCATCATCATCATCATCATCTTCTTCTTCTTCATCATCATCATCAGCATCGGATTCGATTTCAGTATCTGCATCATTTTCTTCATCATTATCATCTTGATGAACATCATCATCATCCCTGTCAATATCACTATCACTATCATCATTTGATCGTGATATGTTAGAACTTGAGCTATTTTGTTGATTTGATGGATTATGATGATTTTCTCTAACTGCTGTTAAATAATTTCGGCTAGCTAAATCATCGGAATAATCTTCGCCACAATTTTGCATCATAGCTGATGTATCATCATCATCATCATCCTCATCATCAACATCGACATCATCGCAAGCTTCGGCAATATCATCTAAATTACGATGATAATAATTTGTACTAGATGTATTATTATTATTATTATTATTATTAGGTGAACGCCTATGTTCTAATTGTTCCAATTCCATTGCTTCATTTGGACAAATTTCATTAACATATGGTTCTAATTGTCGATCACAGACATTATTGTTAATTTGTGTTGATGATTGATTCTGTGAATTAGTGGCAATTATTGTTTGATCATTTGATGATTCAGATACTATTGATTCAATCACAGATTCTGTTTGTATGGGAGTTGTTTTATTAAGTACCGATTCAAATTGTGTTATTAAATTCGATAAAGCACTATTACAGCTTAAACTTGTTGATGAAGATGATGACGATGACAATGATTCGCCATGATTATTATTATTATTATTAGTATCACATTCACTTTGAACATTGGCACCATTTGAATTGTTGAGTGAAATATTGTTATCATCACTCGAAGAACCAGTTAATCTATCACCATCGACATTAATATCATTACTAGTAGTCGATTGTTTAAGTAAATTATTCGCATTTCTTATCTCTTCATCCGTTATTTGTCGAGCATAACGTCGATCTGGTTGCCGTTGATGATATGCTATATGTTTACGATGATTGATTGAACGACCATCTGTTCGCATCGATGAATTCAATGGTTGATTTGAATTTAACATCAATGTAACGGTTTGATTATCATCATTATCGATTGCTAAGCTATTTGAATGATGATTATCATCATCATTGATCGATGATTCAAATTGTCTGTCAGTGTTGTGTATTATAAGGTTTTCCGGACTAGCCGCATTTGATGATAATGATGATGATGATGATAGAATCGATACTCCGAGACAACCAGAAAATCTATTGGTATTAGTATCAATAGTACCGCTACTTGAATCTTTATCAGGTGTTGTAGTAGTAATATCCATGTGTATATTATTGTTGGTGGGTGCTCTTGAAGTGGATGGATGTTCAAAATCATTTCCAATTATATGACCGTGTATTGTTGATGTAATTGGATTACTATCATCATTGTTTTGTTGATTAATAGAGGATGATGTCATACGATCATCTGAACAAACATTATTATCATTATTATTATTATGGTTATCATTATTTATTGCAGATTCAATGACACAATCATTTGATGTTTCCAAAGAATTTTTATTATGAGTCATCGATTGTTGATTTGTCCATGTTGTACGTAATGGAGGTGTCGGTGGTGATGATGATGATGTTGATGAATCAGTTTCATTGTTATTAGAACGATATTCGGATATTATTTCAGTATTAGAATTTTCATCATTTATTTCTGTCGATCTTCGATGAATGGTAGGTGATGATCGTGGGCTACAATTCTCGGTGATTGGCAGTGATTGTTCAATGATATTTGCTGAACCATTACTTGCATTGGTTCGTTCTAATGGTCTATGTTGATGCTTATGTTGTTGTTGTTGATTTACACTAGTAGGTAACGATGATGATTGCTGTTGACCATTTAAAATAGGCTGCTTATTCGGAACTAAACATTCAAATATATTAGTCGAATGACCATTATTGATCAAATGATCATAATCCTGTGGATTGTTGTCGATCATTGATGGACGTTGAAAGCTATGAATTGGACCACCAATACGTTGATTATCACCGATTATTAATTGTGTTTGTTGTTTAGGCGGTAATGGAGGTGGTGGGGCAGGCCTTACTGGTATAATTCGATTAATCATTATCGGCGGTGTATATGTTTGACATGGCGATCCACTAATCATTGTTGTTGATGATGAAGTATTTGTCGAAGTTGTTGCCTGTATAAAATTTGAATTTGTCAATATCATTTGGCCATGATGATGATGATAATGATGAATAGAATTTTTTCCAATTGCTTCATGATTATGATTATGACTTTGTGGAGATGTTGATAATTGTTGAGGTAATTGGTTATGATGATGATCATGATCACCATGTTTTAGATAAGATTTAAAATTAGATGAGTTTGAAGTTTTATCTATTGAATTTGAAAAATTCATTCAATTATAATTTAAACATTAATTTGAATTATTTCAAAATCACACTTACTATGATATGATTTTAAATTTTTTTGTAAATGATTATGATTACTACCATCGATTAATGATTCAAATACAGCGGATGTATATTGACGATGTTGTCCAAAATTATCATCAACATTATTTGTAGAATTTGTTGTTGTATCACTTTGTCTTCGTTTTGAATTATTATTATCAACAGGCAACGATGATGATGATGTTCCAGGTGATGTCAATAATTGTGATGAAAAAATATTCATCGGACCGGATAATCCAATATTATTATTTCTATTACCACCAATTGTAGTTGTAGAAGTGGTTGTTGTAGCAGTATTATTTTTTACAAAATGGCTATTAATTGAATGATTATTAAGGTTAGTTGTTCGTGTTGTTGAACCAGATGAACCTGATATGGATGATGAACGATTCGAATTCAATTGTCCAAATGGACCAATCGATGTTGATGATGATGTTGAAATTGAATTACCTTTGAATGATCCACGATGATGGCCATAATAATTATAATGATTCGTTGTTGTTGATGATGATGAAGATGCAGATGATGATGAATTTGATGATTGATTTGTAGATTTTTTCTTTTTAAATAAATTATGCATCTTTAATGATTTTATATTATGAAGAAAATGATAAAAACAAAAAAAAATTTCTTATAATTTTTCATCGATAATTGAAATGTTTAATCAGATGCATTTGTTGTTATTGTTGTTTTCGATTTGATTGCTATTTGAGTAATAAAAATTTTTTGTTAATTAATTATTGTTATTATTATAATGAGGATCGCATGTGTATAAATCATACCTGTGTAAAATATTGAGAGGGTGACTGATATTGGATTCATTTTATGATAACCGTTATCATAAGTCACAAGTGTAACAACAAATAACAAACAACTTTTCACGTGGATTTTTTTCTTCGTTTGCATTCATATTAGATTCATGTTTATATCGTTGAAAATTTTTGAGATTTTTTGCAGATTCGAACAGAATTTAAAGAGATGATCTGATCAATCAAGATATTTTTTTTTTTCAATCAACGAATAAATATCACACCGAGAAAAAAAGAATGAAAGAAAAAAATCGATATTATTTCAAATGCAGAATAGATAGAGAATTTTAAGAATTTTAAAAACAAAATAATGAAAATACAAATTCTAATTCTGGATCATCATCATCAGAATTCTTGTGGTAAATTTTGACATCACACTAATACAATTATGGATTCACTTATATGCATATATAATACACAGAAAGATATATGTGTGAGCCATAAAATGTTCTGCATGTTTATGTATATGGTATAATCATCATTGATACATAAGGATACTATACTCTCACTATCATTATTCTAATGTTTATGCTACTACCTATTCGGGATATTTTTATTTTTTTCCCCTTCCTTCCTTACTTTATCCTTCACTAATGATAGTATTAGGAATTGTGGTAGTAGTTCAGGATGAAAGTAAAAGAATTCATTTTTCTCATAACAGTAGTAGTAGTATTATGGATTCAATAATAGGAATTTTCTGGATTTTTTTTTCAAACATTGTATAAACACCAATAGATGGCGATACGGTGATTATTTAAAAAAATTTAATTTGTTTTTATAATTCTTTGTAAATTCTTAATTTATTTTCGAATGGAGTATAAAAATACCAATAAAATTTTAATAATTTTTTGGATTTGTTTTTTTTTGTTTTGTTCTCGAATAATAATTTTAAATAATGAATTGGTTTACTAAAATCATTCGAATGATGATGTTAATAAATATTGATGATTTATCACAATTGACATGGCCAGATTATAATCATGAGATTTGTTCATATTTGGATGATCGATTTCCAACAAAAATATTATCAATTGCCTATAATGAACATGATGGTTATCTATGGATTATTAGTAATGATTCATATGCATATCGTTTACCACCATTAAAAACAAAGAATAATAAAATTAAATGGAATTATGAAAATATGTATAGCCTTAAAATCAAAGAAAGATGGCCATCATTATCATTGAATGGTTTTGATCGAATCATATTGATGTGGATAGAAAAGGATGCTTATTTTTTAATGATACGTCATAATCATAATAATATTACTATATTTTCATTAAAAAATCAAATATATGAAAAGATTAATCGAATCGAATCAATAAATTATCCTATCGAATGGCATATGTTTATAGATGGAGAAATTATGATGAATATAGGTTCTGATCGATTATTAATAATCAAAAAAAATGTTGATAATGTTCATACATATCAATATTATATGTTTGAAATTAAAATTAAAACCGCAAGAATATTGCTTAGAGAGATGGGTTCAATTGAATGTCCGGAAGATAAAATTTTGACAAATGGAACATTTTGTCAAATGTTAGCCAAAAAAATTGTAATCAATTTTTTTGATAGTATTCAATGGAATTTTGTTGATCAAAATGGTCAACTATATCAATTAATGGGAAAAAATTATTTTAATGATGAATCATTAAACAAAATGGCCAATATTGATTCGATTCATAATAATAATAATATCAAAACTATTTCAGAATATTTTGAATGTTATGAACGTTTTGAAAATAATAAACATATTGATCATATTGAACGTGATGAAAATGGAACTATTATTTTTATGAAAAAACCGGATAAATCTGAAAAAACTATTGTTATTGTTATAGCTATTGCTATTTCAATACAACTTATTGTTTTATTAATATCAATTATATGGTGTTTATGTTGTCGACATAGACAACGACGAAAACAACAACAACAACAACAACAAAGACTAAAAAAACTTAAAACAATTGAATTAAATCAATCACAAAAACAACAAAACAAATGGTCATTTCCAAATTTTTCGATACAAAATGCAAAACGATCAATAAGATCAATAAGATTTCCCATTGAAATGATCAACAGATCAAATAAAAAAAGTTCATCATTTGGACCTGTATCAACAACAACAACAACAACAACAGCAACAGAAAATTCTATCCGAAATACTGAATTTGATCGTGGTGGTGGTGGTGGAACGGAACTAACGGAAACAATTGAAATGACGGAAAAATCTATTTCTAAAACTAATAAAAACAAACGTATTGCATTGCCAAAACAACAACAACCACAATCAAAATTAACAAAAGATCAACAACAATTAGCATCATTATTTGAAAAAGTAATTAAAAAAATTGATTTAACTAAAATGGCTGCTTTGCAATCAAAATCAAAGTCAAAATCAAAATCACAAAAACTACCACCACAATTAGCAGTAGCAACAACAACAACATCAACAATAACATTATCTGATTATTTTGGTGGTAATAAGGATCATGGTAAAAAACCAATATTATTGGATGAAGAAAAAACATTAATGAAAATTCTGGAAGAATCATCAACAACAACAGAAGATGGTGGTAGTTTCAAAAGAAAACGTTCAATTGATGATAGTTTAAATGAAATACAAAGAAATCGTAAAGCAGCCGTAAAAGATAAACAAAAACGTCGTGAACAACAATTACTTAAAGTAATTAAAATATTAGCAAAAGATTCAAGAGATTTTCGAAAACATCGACGATTATTACGACTCGATAATGATGATGATGATGATAGTGATAATGATTTTGATGATGATGATGATTTTAGTAGAACTCGAACAAGAACAAACGAAAATCTAATAGGAAAAACTGTTCGTTCAAGAGAAGCAACTGATCCACAATTAGTACGTGATCTATTGGATAATCTTGCTCGTCATCGTGAACGTAAACGACGATTACGATTATTACAAATAAAAAAACAACAACCAACAACAACAACAAAAAAAGAACAGCAAACAAAACCGAATTGAAAAAAATATTGAATAAATTTTGAAAATTTGAAAACAACAAATAAATTACATATATTCGAAAACAACATTTTTTTTGTGCATATGTTTTATGTTGTTGTATTTGATTTTGGAAACAACAATCAATCAATCAATCAATGAATTTTAATTGAATTTATTTTCTTTGTTTGTTTGTTTATTTTTCATTATAAAAGGCAAAACAAAAATGTTGTTTAAAGTTGGTTGTTTATGTTGAAATTGCCAGTGATTTTAATAAGAAAAAAAAAATGCTGGCAATGATTTTTTTTACAATAATAATGATGATGATAATGAAAACTGGTAACAGTTCATTAATACGATCATCAAGATATTCATCAACAGCAAATTATAATCATTCAATTTGTGAATATTTAGATGATCATTTTTCAACAAAAATATTATCAATTGATTATTATAAACGTGATCAACAGCTATGGATTATTACTAATGATTCATATATACATCGTTTATTACCATTAATACCAACCGATGATAGATGGGATTATCAAAAAATTGATAGCAAAAAACTTAATGAAAAATATCCCAATTTATCATTGTATGATGTTAAACGAATTCTATTAATGTTGATTAAAGAATATGAAGATTATTTTTTATTATTTTATCAAAAATATGATGGTATTGGTGTTTATGATATTGATGGACAAGAAAATAAATTGATCGATAAAATTGAATCAAGCTTAAGAATTGAATGGAATACATTTATTGATGGAGAAATTAAAATGATTATCGATGATTATCGTTTATTAATAATTAAAAAACAAGAAAAACAAATATATCAATATTATTTGTTTGAAATTAAAATTAAAACAGAAATTTTAGTTGAAGAACAAATGGGTTCAATATTATGTACAAATGATAAAAATTTAAATGGATCATTTTGTTCAATGTTATCCAAACACATTGTAATGAATTTTTTTGATGGTAATCAATGGAATTTTATTGATCGAAAAGGTAGAATTTATCAAATTGATAAATATTCATTTACAAATGAATTTATTACCAAAATGAATGATATAAAATTGATTGAAAATAATATCAAAACCATTTCAAATTATTTTGAATGTTATGATGAAAATCAAATTCAAACAAATAACAATCATACAATCGATAATATCGATATTATTGATGATCCGGAAAAAATAAATAAAACCATATTGATAGTAATAATATCTATTGCTGTTTTAATATCGTTCATTGTTTTAGTATTATTATTAATGTGGTATGTTTTGTATCAAAAACAACAAAAATTAAAACGAATAATTCAACAGAAACAGCAAAAAGGATGGGATATTGATAAATCAAAAAAAACAAAATTATCATTAGAAATGTCAAAAAAACGAAGAACAGTAGGATGTTTACCCTATGAATCAATTTCGACAAAAACTGAAAATACAAAAGATGAAAATTCATTTCAAAATTTGGATGATTTAATATCTATTAGTAGTTTTACGGATACATTTGATGAAATGTCGGAAAAATCATTTAGACCAAAATCAATAAAAAAGATTATTATTCCTACACTTACATCACCAAAACAATCATGGAAAAACAAAATGATGTCAATATTACCATCGACAGCAGCAACAACAATGACAACAGGAATAACATTATCCGATTATTTTACTGCTAATGATAAGGATAAGGATAAGGATAAGAAAAAAACAAAAACAAAATCATCTTCTCCACGAACAATTTCACCGGACATTAGTCAACGAAATGGAGAATCTACAAACGAATCAAGTTTTAGTGAAAGCCATCGAACCAATCGTAAAGCTCAATTAAAAGCTAAACAAAAACGACGTGAAGAACGATTAATCAAAGTTATGAAAATATTAGCTAAAGATTCGGAAGAATTTCGTAAACAACGACGACTATTACGTATTGATGATAAAAATCTACCACAAAATTTAATTACACGTTCAAGAGAATTAAAAACCGATCCAAAATTGATACGTGATCTATTAGAAAATCTTGATCGTCATCGTGAACGTAAACGAAGACGTAAAGAAAAAAGAGAGAAACGAAAATAAATAAATAAATAAACAAAATATAATTTGGATATCATTATTTTTTAATAATGATGATTTTTTTTACAACAACAGTAAATTAATAAAATACATTATGTTCTATAAATCGTGTGCTAATTATTTTCAACAATCAATCAATCAATCAATCAATCGAATGAATTTTAATTTAATTTTTGTTTTTTGTTTTTGTTTTAAAACGCCATTCGATCGTGTTGAATAGATTGGTTGTTTTTAATGTTGAATTCGAATGGAATTGCCAGAGTGTTGAATAGGCTGGCAATGATTTTTTTTATAATGATGATCATGATGATTGGATGTAATTCAATTCGAATATCGAAACCTGGTTATAAACATGCGATATGTTCATATATGGAGTATCAATTTCCGTCAAACATATTGATGATTGGTTATCATCAACGTGATCGTCAACTATGGATTTTGACGGATGATTCATACATACATCATTTATTACCATTGAAAAATATGAAAAATATGACCAAATGGAAATATGACAATAGCATAAAAATTGATGAAAATGACCAATCAATAATGATGACAAATGTGGATCGAATCATAATGTTATCGACAGATCGGAATGATTATTTTTTATTAATAAGTAATGATAACAATAATATTACTGCTTATAATTTGAAAAAACATGAACAATTAACGATCATAAATGAAATGTCCGTTCAATGGAAAATGTTTTTTAAAGGAGAAATTATAATTAATATTAATGATAAATTATTGATAATTGTTAAACAAAATCATGATACATACGAATTGTATATGTTTGAAAATAGGCTTGAATCATCAGCACCAACAATTAAACTTGTGAAAAAAAGTAAAATAAATTGTAAATCGTTCAAGAAAAGATCATTCTGTGCAATGTTATCAAAAAAAATTGTAATGAATTTTTTTGATGGTAATCATTGGAATTTTATCAATCGAAAAGGTCAACTTTATCAAATTGAAAAACATTTTTTTATTGAAGAATTTTTGGAAAATATTGCCAAAATCGATTCGATTCAAAATAAAATCGAAACAATTTATGAATATTTCGAATGTTATGAACTTTTACCAAACGATACTACTATCGATAATATTGAAAAATCGGATACATCTTCAGGAGGAAATACTGTTTTCGGATTTTTCATTGGTTTTTTAATGTTAATCATTATATTATTATTAATATTTATGTTCTTTTTTAATGGTCGAAAACAATTTCGACATATAAATAAGCTAAAACCAAAACGATGGTCTTCAACAATTTCAACCGATGATGATGATGATGATAAAAAATCTAGTCGAAAAACTTTCGATCAACAATTAAAAGATCTTCAGAAGAAAATATCACCTAAAATGATGAAAAAAATATCTAATCCAAAATTGATAAAAAAAGAAAACATTCTGACTGTGCAATCACCGAAACTTTTCAAAGATCAAAATTTAATTATACCAAAACGACCAATATCATTTGAAAATAATAATAAAATGGAATGGATCGAAATTATTGATAATGATGATAATGATGAACCACCGAAATCAACAGAATTACATTCAAAAATAATAACATTATCAGATTTTTTTGGTGATGACAATGAAAAACTTGTAACAAATGAGATAAAAAGAAAATTGGTGACAAGAACTCCCGAAATAAAATTATCTCGCCCACAAAAATCATCAATATCAAACAATACTGACAAACAAAAACAAGAAAAAGGCTCCGAAGAAGATGATCCTTCATATTATGTTATAAATTTAAAATGTACCATTCAAAAATAATTTACCTATATTTTTAAACATTAAAATTTTTAAGCAAACACATTTTTTGCATTATAATATTCTATATTGTTATGGTAATAATTATTATTTTCAACAACAATCAATTCAATCAATCAATTAATTAATCAATTGTGAATAATTTAATTTTCGTTTTTTCTTAGTTTTTAAACGTCGATCATAAATGTAAAATTAAAATGTTTTCTATTTTGAAATCGAATGAAATTGCCATTAGCAATGATGCTGGCATTGATTTTTTTAATGATATTGATAAATGGATCCTGTTCAATTCGATTAGTATGGCCTGTTTATAATCATCCAATTTGTTCATATTTGGATAATCGATTTCCAGCAACATTATTAATGATTGGTTATCATCAACATGATGGTCATCTATGGATTATTACGGATGATTCATATTTACATAGTTTATTACCATTGAAAACAATGAATAATATGATTGTATGGGATTATATGAATATGGATAGCGTTAAAATTAGTGAAAATGGTCAATCAGTATGGATGAAAAATATTGATCAAATAATAATGATGTCGGCAAAATCGTATGATTATTTTATATTAATTCGTAATAATCATTTTTATAATGCTATTGCTTGTGATTTAAATAAATATGGACATTTAAGTATCGTTAATAATATGGACATCATCGATAAACAATTTTTTATTGAACAACCATTAATTACAATGAATATCGATAATGATCGATTATTATTAATTAAAAAACAAATTAATAATATATATGGATTGTTGCTGTTTGAAAATAGACGAAATTCATCATTAAAGAAATTATTTCTTATTCAAAATGATACGATAGATTGTCAAATATATGATAAAAATTTGGATGGATCATTTTGTTCAATGTTATCCAAAGAAATTATAATGAATTTTTTCGATGGTTATCGATGGAATTTTGTTGATGAATTAGGTCAACTTTATCGTATCGAAAAACATTATTTTATTGGCGAATTTTTATCAAATATAACCAATATCCGTATGATTAGTAATGATAGTCGAACAATTTTTGATTATTTTGATTGTCATGAACATGATTGTAATAATTTAAAACCGGAAAAAAATGATGATCAAAATATAATTATTATTCTATGCATTTTTATTGTTATTCAATTTGCCGTGTTTATTGTAATAATTCAATGTTGTTTTTGTAATCAAATTCTTCAAAAAATGATGGGAAAAAATCAAAAGAAAAATAAATCCCGATCAACTTTGAACGATATTACTTATGGTAAAACGGTAAAAAAATCATCAATATCACCAATAATATCATCAATATTTACACCAAGATTAACATCAAAATCCGATTCAATTGAATTATCATCATCTTCTAAACTTGCAGTGATGAGTAGTGAACCGGAAAAAAAATCTCCAATTAAAAAAATGAAAAGAAAAAGAATTATAAGATCATTACAAAGATTCTCATCAAAACAGAAAATTTCATCAAAATCATCATTGGATGATAAAATTAGATCAAAATTTTCACCAAAAAAGATATTACCATTAATGACATCACAAATAACATGTTCTGATTATTATAACCAAAATTCAAATGAAAATAGTCTTGAAGCAATACAGAAAAAAATTAAAGCTAATTCAAAAGTTAAAAAATTCAAACGGCTAAAAGCTAATATTAATTATAAATCTGAATCAAATCAAAAATCAAATCTATTTACACCAACAACACGTACTACTAGCGACTATTAATTTATTCGAAAAAATGTTTTTTTTTTCAATAATAAACCGAAACATTTTATTATTTAAAAAAAAAAATTGTCGTTTTTATTATTAGTTAAAATGTGTTTTATAAAAATACAACAAAAATTCAAACAAATTGTCGATTATCTTTTCTTAACGGTACGGCTTTATATATGATTGCTTTTTCGGCTTTCTTTTTATTCACTGAAAATGGTGTTGAATGATAATTAATTTTACCATTATTTATTGGTCGTCGTCTTGATTTACGTTCGGATTTACCGGCACGATGATTAGATACGGCTATTGATATATAGATAAAAATAATTGAATTTAGAATTTCAAATACATACAGGAAAAAAAAAAGTATTAATCACTTACGAAGATCAACAAATGGTGGATGTTCAAATCCAAACGATTTAGCAACCGCTAACAAATCTAATTTATTAATATCATAAATATTTTTCAATGAATGTGAATCATATGCTCGAACATAGGATTTATATGCTTCTTTTGCCGACATGTTTAGGAAATAATTTCTGGAAATTAATTTTTCAATCTAAAAAAAAAAAAATTAAGAGAATGCTCATTTAAAACCATTCTATAAATGTGTGTGTGTGTATGTAAATATTAATTTTACCTGTGGTTGTACATTTAGAATTTTATTCCATGCAAATTCATATTCAACTAATGGTATTTTAGCATCACGAAGATATTGAAGAAAGCCACGTTCTTCTGGATTAAGAAATAATAATGCATTACCATGTGATTCAAGACCACGTGCCGTACGGCCAACACGATGAATATATTCTTTTGGATCATCCGGTGGATCATATTGTACGATCCAATCTACTTTTGGTATATCTAAACCACGTGCAGCAACATCCGTACAGAATAATGTTCCGGTTTGTACATTGCAGAATTGAAAAAATGTTGTCGTACGTTTATTTTGTTTTTGTTTGCCCTGAATAAAAAAAAAATAGATAAAAATCAATTCATTTCATTTTTTTAAAAACTTACATGAATCGACATGACAGGAATATCGATATAATTGAATAATTCATGATGAAATTTTACCGACATACATGAACTAAAGAATACCATACATTTTTTGTTACGATTTTTTTTCAAAAACGTAAACAATAATGGTAAACGTTTATCATTACTGATCATAACGAAACCTTGTTGAAGACCATCCACAGTAGCTGTATCTTGTGGCTGTGGATCTAGACCAATATAAAGTGGTTCTTTTTTCAATGCCAATGTTATAAGATCATCAGTTTTTTTCGATAATGTAGCACTGAATAACATTGTCTGACGACGTTCTGGTAATAGTTTTATAATGGCACGCATTTCATCTTCAAAACCAATATCTAATAAACGATCGGCTTCATCAATAATAAGACATTGAAGATTTTTAAAAATGAAATGTTTGGTATTTTGTAGATGATCCAACAAACGGCCCGGTGTTGCTATTAGGATATTTATACCTTTTGTCAGACGATTTGCTTCGGATGATCTATTCACACCACCCATAATTAGACCATAAGTTTGATTATGATAACGCATTAAAGATTCCAAAACACTATATGTTTGCATGGCTAATTCACGTGTAGGTGAAATGATTATGACACCAACACCATTACGTGGCATAAATTTCAATTTATACATCAATTCAACAGCCGGTATAAGGAACGCCAATGTTTTACCGCTGCCTGTTTTGGCCGAACCAACTAAATCTCTATTAAATCAAGAAAATCATGAGAAATTTAAGATGACAAAATCAAATCACTTACTTTCCCTCCAACAAATGTGGAACGGATTTCGATTGAATTTCAGTCATATGTGTGAATCCCATTTCATCAATGGCATTCAATGTTTTTTCCGAAACTTTATCGGCCAAATCTTTGAATGTTAAATTCGATAACAATGATTTAACGATGGCCGTTTTTGATGTATCCACCAATGTTGGACAATCATTTTGTTCGTCAGTTTTTAATCCTAAATAATCGTAATAATGATTACATGCTTGATTTTAAGATTTTTATCAACTTACTTTTAGTTTTTGATTGTTCATCATCTGAACATTCTTCAATTTCATTTGTAGTTATTTCTTCGGATAATTGTTCCTGTTCGTTTGATTGTTCACATTCAAGTTTTCTTTCATTTTTCAATTTTATTTTACGTTGTTTTTTAAGCTGTCGTTTGACCAATTCATCCAGATGTTTGGTCATTTTTTAAAAGTATTTGTTGATTGAAAATCTTTTTTTGACAAATTTTTTTTTCGTGTTGGAAATTTTAGAACGCGTGCTCCTGATCACATGTGAGATTTAAGTATGTGTCAAATTCATAGATGACGTTTTCGTTTGATGACAATTTGCCACCTGGCATTTTTGTTTTCTTATTAATGCAAAATTAATCAAAATTTTGTGATAATCCAAATTTAATAATATTTTAAATAATGTAAGTATTTTATGAAAATAATTTTTTTTGTTTCGAAACATAAAATATATCGATCGATTGAAAGGTCGGATTCAATTTCGGGAGATTCATCAGCAGCATCGGCTGCAAGTTCAAGCAGCGGTGGTAAAGTAACATTTAAAATAACATTAACTTCGGATCCAAAATTACCATTTAAAGTGTAAGTTGATGAAAAATTTTTCATGTCAAAAAAAAAAATTAATGATAATAATAACAATGAATCATCATAGACTTAGCGTACCGACCAATGCACCATTTACAGCCGTATTGAAATATGCAGCCGAAGAGGTACATTTCCATTTTTGATAAATTTTTTGTTAAAATAACATTTGGTTATTTTATTTTTTTGAAAATAGTTTAAACAAAATCCATCTACATCGGCAATCATCACTGATGATGGTATCGGTATAAATCCATCACAAACAGCCGGCGATGTATTTCTAAAACATGGTTCCGAACTTCGTCTAATACCACGTGATCGTGTTGGTTGTTGGTAAAATTGAAAAAAAAAATTTTCCAAAAAAACACCATCCGGTTTTTAATGAATTATTCAAAGTTTAATGAATTAATTTCCAAAACAAACAAAACAAAACAAACATGCAAAAATACAATGATAAAAAATATTTAAATTTTCAAATTAAAAATGAATTGTAAAAAAAACAACATAAATAACAAAATTAACAATAAAAAAAATTATAATGAATCAATTTTGAAGATGATGAATTTTGATCTGTGAGAATTGATTTTTTAATCGTATGCACAATGCTGTAATTAAATCATCAATTTTTTGTCTATCCATTGCTAGATCAACGGATTGTATAATAAAACGATAACAATAATAAATACCATCAAATAATTGGATTTTTTTAATCAAATGAATTGAATGTAAATTTGTTGGCTGAAAATGATCCCATACTATACGAAGAAATTCTAATTGTGGTAAATGTGTTTTTGTTTTTCCATTATTATTATGTGAAGAAAATTGCCAACAAATAGTTAAATTACGATAGAATATCTGTGGATATAATAATCCTGTTGTTGGAAGTATTAAATGTTGTTGTTGTTGTTGTTGTTGAGGATTTTTTTGATGATCATTAATATCAATCAGATGAAAATATTTAGAATATAAAATTCTTGTATCATTTAAATTCCATTTAATACGTAAACAATTTTCAACTAAAAGATTTAAGCTTAATAATCGTTGAGTGGTATTATGTTTTGACCAAAAACCAAATATAATATCATCAATACGAAGATCTTCAGTAATTAGATCATCAACATAAGATTTACGTAGATAACGGCCAATTATTGTTGACATCATACGAAATTGTATTTGTGGTGTTGAATCCATTAGACTAATACTTAATATATAAATATCTAATGGTTCATTTGATGAATAACAAAAACTATCATCATCATCATCATCATTATTATCATTATGATGATTATCATCGATAGCCAATAATGATGAACGTTCGATTAGATATGGTTTAACACTACGGCAACCAGCTATATTATCCAACATAAGTTCACCAATATCATTGATAAATTTTTGTACTAAACTATTCGATGATAATGGATGTGTATAGATAACCCTGTGAATAAATAATTTTTTTTTTTGTAAATAAAAACTTTTTTTTACATTTTAAACAAAAATAAACATACCTTGGAATAAAACAATCAAGTTTATAATCACGATATTCAAATACAAATAGATTTACATTGTTACCAAAGCAACAATCATTGAATATTTTTTTATCAATCATTGTTGATGACGATGATGACGATGATGATGATGTTGATGATTCTCCAGTTGATAATGATGACGATGATGATGATGATAATGATAATTTTTTTGTTGATAATAATTTTAAAGATTTTTTTCGATTACAATAACCAAATGGATCATATTGTTCTAATTGTATATTTAATAAATTCATTTGTTCATTTATTCGATGATAATGATTATCTTTATTCATCGTTACAAATTGATTTGGTTTTTGTTGTTGAGCAACAACAATTGAACAATCATTATTTTTATTTTTATTAATTATAATGTTTAAATTTTTACTATTATTATTATAATAATGAAATTTACGATTAGTTTGATAACGAAATTTTAATCGTTCATAATTATCACAGAATAATTTTTTCATTGTTTTCATTGTTAATGGATAACAATAATCGATTAGTATAAAATTACCATAGGAAGCCATTTCGTTTAATTGTAATGATTCATGCCATGATAATGTTGTTGATGAATTATTGATTTCAATTGGTGTTAAACCGGATAAACCATCCGATATTGTAATATAAAGCAAAATTTCAATTAAACATTCACGATGTAAATCTTCAATCGACATAAACATATCACGTAATAATGTTCGATAATTTATCATCATTTTTGTTGTCATTATCGTTGTTGATTGATTACAATTTATTTTAGCGGCAAAATTATAAATCAAATGTATACGTTTAAGATTAATGGCCAATTTAATATCAGATATTAAACGTGAATGTTTATGTAAATTACGAATATCAATATCGGTCCATATTCTTACACCATAATCAATGATCAATTGACGAATATTTTCTTGTATTAATTGTTTTTGTTTATCATTATCATTATTTGTTGTTGTTGTTGTTGTCGTCGTCGTAAGATCAACATCACTAATAATCAATATTTCATATTTTGAATCAAGCATTCGTTGTGAATGTAATAAACGTACAAAATTAATTGCAAACGAATAATTTCGTTCACAATTAAATAATATTATTAATTCGGACATTGTGGAAAATTTGATTGATTTTCGGAAAGAATTTTGATATTTCAATATTTCAATGAAGACACAATAAAACACAATGCGCGCCAACACTTTTTGAAATCAATATTGATTGATCAATTAATTTATTAATTGATTTTTAAGTTGACTTTTTAAAGAAAATCATAATTTCGATGATTTTTTTTTAAAAAAAAAAGATAACATTAATCGAAAATGATGATGATCATATCAAAACAAAAATGAATAAATTACTATTTTGTATCAAAATGTTTTGATTTATAATGAATGAATGAATGATGATGATGATTTTTGATATATGTCAAAAAAAAATGGAAGAAATTTCTTTTTCTGTTTATAGGTTGTTGCAATTCATCATCATCATCATCATAATGATAATTAACGAAAAAGATTGATTAAGCCATGGAAAAATTGGCGACAACATCAACAACAACAACAACCAAAAAAAAAACATTATCATTTTGAGCAAAAGTAAAAATTACTGTGAAGAAATTTTCTTCTTTTTTTTTGTTTTTTTCCTCCCAATTTCTTTAGAAAAAAATGAAATGATCATCACCATCATCATCGATCGATCGATCAACGTTTGTATATTGCCCAAAACCAGATATTTTTTCCCGTGAACTATAAAAAAAAATAAAAACTTTTTCCATTGAATTTTTATATCATTTTTTTGTTTGTGTAATGCATGTTATCACTCACACTGTATTATACATACATACAAAACAGTCAGTCAAACTTTCACTCAAACAACAATCTACGCATTCGCATATTATACTTGAATTGATTGAATTAAATAATTCGATTCACAGGAATTACAAATTTATTTTTTTTACACACATTATTGTCGATGATTCACAATACGAAACAAGGCCAGGAATGAAAAAATTAAACTCTAAGAATCAAATTGAATTCAAAGATTCTCAGGTTCGAATCGGAATTATGATGATGAAAAAAAATCATATTAATCAAATTTCTTTGCAGAATCCAATCCAATAGATTCGTGATTTCCATCTTTCATCATTTTTTTCTTTGATACAGAACCTTTTTTTTTTTGTTGTTGAAATGATTACAGGTACTTACGTATTAGACGCAAGGCGAAAGTTCTAAAGGAACTTAAATACATTATAGATTTTTTAAAATCATATGTTTTTATCAGCAGTTAGGTTTTCCTACCCGGAAAACCTAACTGTCCTAACCTAAACTAACCTGCCTAGATTAAGTTTGATTAATTACAAACCAAAGAATATTCATCTGCTTTATTCTTTCTTTATATAAGTAGCAAGTTAACATAGAAGTGTTGTGCGAGCAACACTTCTATGGTAACTTGAATGGCCTTGCATCTAATACGTAAGTACCTGATTACATTATGTTTGTAGTAGGTTAGTTGATTGGTGTTAGAGTTTGACTATTATATATGAAAAACAAAAAAAGAAAATTCCGAGAATTTTTTCCCTCTCATTATCTTTTGTAGCCATCATCGTTATTGATTGGTGATATTGGTAACGGTTACGACGACGACACCAATGATAATTTTTTTGCAGGGGAGTATTTTGTATTTTCTCAATCATTTTTTCTATGGAAAAAGATCAAAGATAAAATTTACAAATTGTTAGGAAAAAAACATCTACAGAATATTTATATATTCTGTTATGGTTTTTGTTTGATCATTCAAATGGAATTGTAAATAACAGTTATTTTTGTTTTTTGGATACTGTTCAAAAACGACGAATCAACATGTGATGAATTGTTTGGAAAATTATGATGATTTTTTTTCTATCAAAATTAAAAAAAAATGTCTCGATGTTTTTGGCAAATTTTTAAAACAAATCTTAATGAATCATTATCGTTTCGTTTAAATTCAACATTTTCAAATGTAACAAAACTTAAATCAATTAAAAGTATGTATTTGATGTTGTTGATTCGATTCTGTTATGATTTCTGATTTAATTTTCTTTAAAAAAATTAGATGAATTAGTTTATAAAGAGATAGATCCATCAAAATATAAACATTTAATTAATAATAATGGTACATCAATCGAAATGATTTTAAAAGAATATGATTATCTAAAATATATGACTGGTTATGTACCATCGGATATTGATACGGAACAAATGTCCGATTTATTATCAATGGAAAATGAACGACAACGTAAACAATATTTTCGATATTTATTTTTAAATGAAATTCGTAAACAAAAAGATTTTCGAAAACGTTTGGAACGTAAAGAACAATATCAACAATATTTAAATACACGTGATGAACGTACTTTTGGTATTTTCGATGAAAATGGTCAACTTTCCTATCAATTATGGTCAAATACATTGATTGGTCGAATATCATCAAGAAATGTATCACATATACGTACTACACAACGTTTACGATATGCATCAATGTTTGGACAGAAATTAATAATCGATCTTGATTATGATGATTATATGTCATTGAATGAATGTCGTATACAAGTTAATCATATTGTACGATTATTGGGTGAAAATCTTCGTACAACAAATGATCCATTTGATATTTATTTTACAAATTGTGATTATCAAAAACCAACAATGAAAAATTTATCCAGATTTTTCGATACTATGCCTTTTCAGGTCAATAATCTCAATTTTATTTATAATCAAAAGATAAAATAATTTTTTTTGTTTTTGTTGTAAATTTATAGTTAATGTCATTACAGCAACAATTTCTAACGAAAAGTTATATGGATGTATTTGATAATGAACGTCTTGTTTATCTAACACCAAATGCAACAGAAACATTAATTGATTATAATCATAATGATATCTATATAATCGGTGGTTTTCTCGATAAATCTAATCTAAATAAACCGATAAGCCATATGAAAGCCAAATTGGCTGGTATACGACAATATCGTTTACCATTAGATCAATATGTACCATGGGGATCCGGTTCATCAAAACATCTTTGTATAATGCATGTAGTTGCCATTTTAAATCAGGTAAAACAGACTAACAATTGGAAACAAACATTACGAGAACAAATACCTAAACGTAAAATGAAAAATTTTGATGAATTAGAACAACAAAATCATGAACGACAATTAGCTTATTTAAAACGGAAATTATCTATTGATCAAATGAAAATTTTATAATTACATTACATAACAAATAATAATAATTTTTTTTAAAATGAAAAACAAATTATAAATACAAAAAAAATGAATGTAAATGTAGAGTATTAAGATTGTTGATTTAAAAAAAAAAATAAAATAATGTACAAAAATCAATCAAAATATTCATAACGATGAACAGTAAAACTAATCATTGATGAAATACATAATAATAAACCGGCTGAAAGAAAAACACCCGTATATGATAATGTTAAATCATAAAGTAGGCCAGCTAATGGTGGACCAGCAATAGCTGATAGACCACGTACACAGCATATTAGGCCAAATGTTGTTGTCAATAATTCCAATGATAAAATATCAACCAATATGATTGATGTCAATGACATGTATGACGCTATTGTTGTATTTTTTTTTGTTGTTGTGTTCAAAGAAAAGAAAATAATTAAAAATTGATATTTGAAAAAAACAGAACAGAACAGAACAGATAACATACAGATTGTAAAACCAAATAAAACTGAAATAGCCATTAATATCCAATATGATTGACAGAATGGTATGGCCATTACTGAAAGACCGGCAATAAGAAGACAAACATTATTGATCAATAATGCAGATATTCGTATCAGTCCGAAACAAATATTTGTTCCACTAAAACGATCACTAATCAAACCAAATGCTAAACGTCCAACTACATTCGATATACCAATGGCCGATAAAATCCATGCTGCTTTTGTTCCTTTAACTAATTCAAATGAAATAAATAAATAATTTACATTTGAAAAAAAGTAAATTTGAGAAAAATAAGTAAACAAAAAAAACTTACTATCAAATTCTTCGGTAGCAAAACGTACAATATATACGTATGGAATATAATATCCAATCATACCGAATACATTCGATATGGCAAGTAATGCCATTGGCGCAATTTTTAATACGGAAAAATCTAATACATCTTTAACATCGATACGATTTTCCATTGCTTCCATATCGGTCAATTGACTGGTTATTGTCCATGTACGTGGTCGTTGTACAAATGATCGTCTTGAATAATTTGAATATTTTGAACTAACCGACATTGAACTTTTATTTACCGACATTGAACTTTTATTAACCGATAATGAACTTTTATTTACCGACATTGAACTTTTATTTACTGATAATGAACTTTTATTATTCATTGACAATGTACTACGATGATGATTATAACGACGATTACCAACACTTGCAATTGATTGATTTGATTTATATGTTGAATTACGTTTTAAATGATTATTTTGATTATCATCATCATCATTATTATTATTCATTGGTAATGGTTTCATTAATAAACCATAAAATGAACAACAACCAATACAAATAGCCAATATTGATAATGATTGTTTCCAATCATAATTAGCTAATAAAAATTGACAAAATGGTGAAAATATAAATGCACCCATACCGGAACCACAAACAGCAATACCGGTAGCGAATGCACGTTTTTCTGTAAAATAATGTCCAACCGATACTATCGATGGTAGATAGATAAAACCAAAACTACAACCAGCTATTTGTAGAAAAAATAATGATTTAAATTTAAATTAATTAACACAATATATCGATATCACTTACTAACAACACCATAGGTTAATAAAAGAATATAAACATTCGATGCTCGTGTTGATATTGCAAATGCAATTGCAGCCATTATACTACCTATAATTGTTATCGGACGACAACCATAACGATTAACTAAACTTGATACAAATACACCGACAGTCATATAACAACCGCTTAATAATGATCCAGTCAATGCTGTAATAGCTTCATTTGAACCAAAATAATCAAGAAAATGTGGTAAAAATATACCAAATGTATAACAAATACCATCAACAGTAAGATTACACATAAATGATGCAAATACAACAATCCAACCATAACCACCATCCGGTGGTTGATGATGATCATTTGATGATATAATAATATTCGGTTCATCAACATTTATAACACATTTACTTGAATCACCTGTTGCTTTTCGTATATTAATCGTTGGTGTAATTATATTATTTTCATCATTTGTAGCAAAATTTTCAACATTCAATGTTGTTAATTGTTGAGATTTTTTCTTTTTTATTGATGATAATTTTTTACCAATACTATTATTATTATTATTATTATTCATTGTTTCATGATTATTATTATTATGATTTAGATTTGAATTATCAATCTGTAGAATCATATTGTATTGAATTTTAATTTTCAATGTTGACACATAAAGAAGACAAAAAAAAACTACAAAGATGAAAAATATACACAAAACATTCGAATGATTGATTTTTTTAAAATTATAATAATAATCAAATTAAATTACAAATAATGTTTATCCTTGTTGATAATGATGGATTTCTCTCTTTTTTTGATTATGTGGTCATTATAAACAAATAAATAAATAATGACAATGACAATATTGTTGTTTCAATGTTTTTCCGTTTCTTATGATGATGATGATGATGATGTTTAGTAGGATGCGAAACAATTTTGAAAATAGAAAACAGAAAAAAATATTATAATTTGCTTTTTAAGTACCGATCGGATCATATCTATCGAACACAGATATTGTTATGTTATTTTTTTCAAAAAAAAAAAATCGTTATAGCATCAGTGCATGGACGTCTTCATTATACCATGTTTTAGGTGTTACTATGGTATTGTGTGATGGATATGGATTTATTTGATTCGAATCGAATGATATTATCATCGTCATCATCATCATCATCATCATCATCATTCATAATAAATAAACAAAATTTGATCGTAATGATTGAATCGAAATGATGGCCATGATAATTATGTGTGCGAGAGAGAGAGAGAGAGAGAGAGAGAGAGAGAGAGAGAGAAACTAATAAA